CTTCTTCTTTTTTCATTTATGTATTTAGTACAGGGTCTCATTATGTGGACTCGTAGTGATCCTCCTGTTTACAGCCTCCCAAGCTCTGGGATTGTAGGTGTGTGCCACCAGGCCCAGACTTGGTCATTGGCTCAGTCCACCTTGTGGGTGGGGCTGGTGCAGCATGCAGGACCAGGGGTCCCTGAGCTTGCCAAAGCAGGTGCTTAGTCCACTGAGCTATCTCGCTGGCCCTAGCGTTGACCTTTTAAGAAAGCCTTTGCTGACTGTTTAGTGTCTGGCTTTCTGGAGATGGTTTCCATCTATTCCTTCTGCCCTTTAGCATAGCATTCAGGTCTGTTCTTGTAAGTAGCTGATTTCTATTGTGCTTTTCACAATCAGGATAGTGTCCTACCCCCTCTGTGCACAGGAGGACAAACACAAGAATAGGATCGGTGTTGTTTACTGTTGATGTCTACTTGCAGAAATTCTGCTGTCTGTTATGCCTTTGAGTTCAGTAATGAAGTGATTTGTTCTGTTTTGTGTACAGAGAATCGAACCCAAGGGCTTCTCAATCACCCCATCCCTTTTGAAATTTCTTACTGTGAGACAGGGTCTCATGAAATTGCTAAGTTGCCCTGCCGGGCTTGTCCTTATGGTCCTCCTGCCTCAGAGTGCCAGATTACAGCTGTGCACCACAACACCCAGGTTGAGAAGATTCGTCTTCTTCAGGCATCACAAGACTTTCCACAGTGCAGGCAAATTTAGAACACACCTTTATGGCACAGCTAAAGGTGCCCTTACATTTTCCCTTTGTCATAGCCGATCTCTGCCTAGAGATAAGAAGGCCTGTTGGAGACCCAGAATGGGCAGTTTCCCCGGCATTTGAAGGGAGGAAAGGTTTAAAAGCACAGACTGCATTTCTTTGTTGAGATTTACCAGCATGGGTTTGGATCAGGGATCTAAGACTGACGCTCTCACTAATGGAAATCTGAGGTCATTTTAAACTTAGGTGAAATTTTATTTCATCTAGCGCAAGCCCAGAAACGTTACCTAGCTTTACCATTTATTGCTGGATGGCTTTGAGCAGTTTACTTAGATTCAGGCCCTCCTTTTCCCCATCTGTAAAGAGGGAATAAGAGTGCTGCTCCCCACATGGGATTGCTTAGAGGATAAAAGGAGTTATTGCTTGTAAAGTAGTGTAACGATTTTTATTAGTGCGTGTTTGTAACACACAATAGATGCCTCCTTGGCGCTGAGTTGGTGTGTGCTCTCTCACACGGTCATCCTTTTGTCCTCCCCGTCCCCCCCCTTTCCTTTCACCTTTAGAACCCTTCCCATCTATAAAAGATCGATCTCCAAGTTTCGTATCATCTGTCTTCTATTTTGTTTTTTAAATTATTTATACTTTGGGTTTCTTGTAGAAGAAAAAAGACATGCAATGTTGAACTTTCTGTGTCTGATTTATTTCACTTCACGTTCGGGTCTCTGGGCACATCCACTTCCCTGCCCATGACTCAAGTTTATTCTTTATGTGTGAGCAGTACTCCAGTGTGTACATATGCCATTTGCTCTATTCTTCTATCAATGAACATATATGCTGTTTTCACAAAATTTATTGTGTGTTGTTATGTAACAATTTTAATTCATGATAAGAGCTCAATAAATGTTAGCAACCCTGTTATCACTATTATTATTGAATAACAGAGCATATTAGAATGAATAATCTAAATGAAGCCTTTTTCATTCATTAGCATAGTTTTTATTGCTTATTAATTCAAGTGAGAATTACGGCTAGTAAGTAAATCACATAAATGAGATAATACATGTGATCCACTAATATCCAGTGATAGGCAATCACTGTGTAGCTTTAGTCCCTACAGCAATCCAAACTGAGAAGAAGATAGTTTTTCTCTAGCTTCACCTTTAGAGATTGCAAGTGGCCTCAAAGCACACATCAGGTCAAAGACTAGCGTCTTCCTGTAATTGGAAATTCACTGTGCAGATTTAAAAAACCTCCATCTTTTCTGACCATGGTGTCCATGAACTTACTCTTCAATCTCACCTACAGGGACAGATGCTAAAATTCAGCAGCATGGCTCCAGATGTAGACCGTCTCAATGAGCTTGGCTACAGGTTGCCCCTGAATGACAAGGAAATCAAAAGGATGCAGAATCTGAACTGTCTCTGGTCTCTCACCTCCTCTCAGACTACAGAACGATTCAGGTAAGCAAGAGATGCTTTGGTCCCTCCAATTATCTTCTTTTGTTTTCTGCTGCAATAACAAAATATCAGTGATTGAGTGACAAGCTTATGTTCTTGTGGTTCTGGCATCCAGGAAGGCCAAGATTAAGGGGGAACAGGCTTGGTTGCCAGGTGAGTGCTGCTGGTTGCTTCAAAGCTGGTCAAGGCCAGAGAGCTGGAAGCTGTGTGAACATTCTTCTTCTTCTTCTTCTTCTTCTTCTTCTTCTTCTTCTTCTTCTTCTTCTTCTTCTTCTTCTTCTTCTTCTTCTTCTTCTTCTTCTTCCTCTTC